TGCGGCTCGTCCGTCCCGCGAAGAAATGCATCCCAGCAAGGCACAACAAAGCACAACAAAGCACGCAGATTTGGGTCTGCTCCTCGGGTTCAACCCCATTAAGAAAGATGCCAATGGTAATATAGTCAAGCATGGCATCAGTGACGACACCCCGACCAAATCCAAGGCCTCTCCCGCGACCGACCAATTTGGGACCCCAGGATTCGAATACAAGTTTCACTCCCAGGAGACTGAACTCAGCAACGAGGCCAAACTGCTGATGGAAAGCGTCCGTGCTGACGCTGCTCGAATTAAGGCGCAAATGGTCCAAAGCAACTCAGAGCAAGAGCATGAAGATCACAAGGCCCAACAGGTTCAAGAAGACCGGAAGATCGCCATGCCACAGGGGAAGGCCAACCGCTTCAGCGATATCCACATGGCCGAATTCAGAAAGATGGACTCCATTGCTGGGCACGCTTCGTCTTTCCGGGCTACTCCCGGTCGTTTCCAGCCTGTTACCAAGTCTCTGAAGCGGACCAAGTCCAAGGCGCAGCTTGACGAACCAGAGAGCCAGAACTCGTCCCCTTCTCGCTCTGCCACTAAGATCTCAAAGCTATCCACCCCCACAGCCGCTACAACAGCTAAGCGTATCAAGCACAATCAAAGCGATGATGCATCCACTCGTCATGAATCTAAGGATCAAACACAGAAGGTCGAAACCCCTCGCCGACCTGCAGGTCCTCGCCCTCGCCCTCGCCCTCGCACAAACATTCGCAGTTCCCTCCTGACACCCACACATGCTTCGCTTGCTCGTACGACCTCTACCAGCATCAAGGCACCGAGAACCTCAATGATTCCATCCTTGAGGTTATCTCCGGTTGCCAAAACAATGGCATCACCTCGAACTCCTCACACTGATTTCAACCCACGCCTCAAGAACAAGTTACCCACCCTTGGTAGCCTTAGGTCTATTCTTCGTCAGCGCCAACCTCTTTTCTCCCGCGACCCTGCCAAAATTGCATCTGGTACCCACGTTGCAGCGCCCGATTTCAATCCCAAGTCGCTCTTTGGAGGAGCTGGTGATATAAGCGACTCTGCTCCAACCCCTTCGCCAAAGAAGCACGTTGAGTTCACCCCAAGTGTGAAATCTCACCATGAACTTGCTGTCGCCTCACCCTCTCCTTCCAAGGCCTCTTCCGCTCAGCGTCGTTCCATGGCTGGAGATGTGGTCTATCCCACTCTCCCCGCTCTCACTCCCGAGAAGAACTCGGCTGTCTTAACGTCCAGTACTCCTACTTCTGCAATTAAGTCTATTCGTCATGTTCGCAAATCGGATGCCGGTGAACAGCCCGCTCCTTATCAAGAGCTTCCCGTGGTGACTCATGGCATTGCTCATGGCATTGCCAATAAGAAGCGGCACCGCAGCGAGATAAATGACGAGGATTCTCCCAGCGCGACAAATAGTGAGAATGTGCCGCCCATCGATGTACAGTCTGATGAGCGCAGCAGCAAGAGGTTCAAATCCAACCCGCCCACTCCAAGCCCGGTTAAAAAGCGTCTTACCAAGACTCCTGTGCGTCCTTCTGGCCAAAATGTCACACCAGCTAGCAAGAAAAAGAGTCGTGGTGTTCTCAGCATGAGCCGCCTCAACATGCTTTCGAAGCCGAAGAGACAGGCCTGAACATGCAATGACCTGATGAGTACACACCGGGCGCGCTAGGCAGCGCCTTGATGACTTAATTTTTTCAGCCTTATGATCAACCTAGTGCCTGATTTTTTGTTGCTACTTTTTTTTCCCCCTTCTGGGCCCTTGCAGCCCAGCACATGCTGCAGTAATGCTCTTCTGTGGTGTCAACGAACCAACATTTCCAGTCTTGATTTGTATCTACACTAACATATTTGAAGGTCTTTGACGGAAATATCTTTTTTTCGAGTCTGGTGTTTTTCATCTTCCTTCCTTTTTTGCCCGTTTAACGGGTAACACTTTCGTGGGAAATATGGCGTTTATTGTTTGTTATGCCTTCGGGCTATTGCTATTGGGAGGGTGCCATGGTGTGTCTGTTTCTGTGTATTTGTTGTCAATGAACCTTTCGAAATCAAAGGAACTCTTGTGGCAAAGTTCGTGAACAAAGTTAAGCATGGTCAGTGGTGTGCATTCTAACTTGTCAACATCCCAACAACGTAAAGTGAAGAATCCGCTAGTTTACGCCACTTTTGTTCTACAGAAGGAAGATATCAAAGTTGCGAATGAATCAAAGAATTTGCTATGTACAAGAAACAGGAATTAGACTCCATCCATCGCGGAGATCAAAACAGCTAGCAATACATGAAGGGTTCGAAAAAGAATAGAAAACAGAACAAGAAGAAAACAGAGAGCCTTCCCAACGGTAGAACAAGTGCTAAACAGGCGATTATGCTCTTGTCTGCCGTGCAGACAAGAGCCTCCATGGTATAGGATAGAGAATGGTACAGTGACATTAAGCATGACAATCATTCGGGAGTTGAAGAGATATGAAGGAGTTTTCGGGGAGGGTTGAACCGAAGAGGTGAACCGAAGAGGTGTAAAGATATGAATCAGACCCAGGGGGGCGGAAAGTGGTAGATATGCATCTGAGATGCTAGCAAAGCAAGGGAGAAAGGTAGACCTCGAGCCCGGATTGGAGCGAGCTTCGAATCAGGGATGGACGACACAGTATGTATCAGTTTTTCATGGTTTCCAGGAACGAATCCAGGTTGTATTCTTCCTGGTACTGGCGGTCATCCCAGAGCTCGCCCAGATCATCTAGCCAGCCCTTCTTGCCCTTCTCCTTGACCTCGCCGTCAATGTCAACCATGTCAACCTCGTTGCCAGCTGTGTCGCTTGGCTTCTCAGCTGTGTCTGCCGTTTCACCCAGATTGAACAGGTCAAGCAGTTGGTCTGTGTCCATTGTTCCAAGCCCGGCGTTCTGTTGATTGACCACGGTGGAGGCGACGTCGATCTTGAATCGTTGCAAGCTGTGGCAGGGTTCAGATTAGTCTCCATACATATGCGGGGTTCATGTGGAACGATGATTACTTACTTTAAGATCTTTTCCTCCAGGGTACCACGCGTGATCAGGCGGTATACGTTGACAACCTTCTTTTGGCCGATACGATGAGCACGATCCATAGCCTGGATATCTTTCTGCGGGTTCCAGTCGTGCTCCACGAAAATGACGGTGTCTGCACCAGTAAGGTTGAGACCTAATCCACCAACACTAGTGGTAAGGAGCAAGACGTCGTAGCTAGGGTCGGTATTGAATCGGTTTACAATATCCTGGCGCTTGGTTGCTTCCACACCACCATCCAGGCGAAGGTATTGAACGGATGGGAGGAGTTTCTTGAGGACATCATTCTGCACAATGTCCAACATCTCCTTCATCTGACAGAACACAAGAGCTCGGTGGGGGCTGACATAGCTTGCGCCTGTATCCAGTTCACCCTCTGCTGTGTGGTCAAGGCCAATACCGCAATCCACCAGCAAATCTTTCAAAGCGTTTAGCTTGGGCGCGTGGGAAAGGTCTCTGATATTTGAACGCTTAGCAGCCAAGAAGGATTGCACCTCATTGTACTGTTTGTGGCCTTCTTTGACAACCAAGGCAGGAGAGTTACATAGACGTCGC